GTTAGGCTAAAATATCAGCAAGGAGGGAGTAGAGGCCCGCTTGTCCAGTGGTCTGTGGGGATTGTGCTTGTAGGTGTTAAGAACTGTCTCATTAAGTCTCCTTATTGAGGGTTTTCAGGATGTTTTTCTCTTTTGTTTTGCATCATACTGAAGCAGCTACCTTTTTCCAAATATTTTTTCATCTTAGGTGGCTGGCCCTTCTGTTTGTTGAAGGATGTGTGCTTTTGATGTACCCAGAAAGCCAGTTCATAAAACAGTGCTTTTCTGCACTTTCGCTTCCCTAGCATTTCCACGTAGCTGAAGTTCACAGTGAGACTCATCGTACGAAATCACAATAGTCTCTAAATTAATGTAGCATTACGAACTTTCCGTCTGTTTTAATTTGGAACTCACAGCCATATTTGCAATAACAGGAGTCCTGGATGGCTGCTCACCCTGCTAGGCAGGGAGCCCCAATGTGTTTCAGACCACAGGCTGGTCTTTTTTTCTTTTTTTTCATTTATTTTTTTCCTCTTCCCACCCCTCCTCCCCTGTGACTTAAAGGGATGTGTCTGGGTCCTGTTCCCAAAAGAGGAATGTGTGTGAGGTGATGCCTTGCACATCCTTCTTTCAACCCCACTCCTGCAGCCTCGGGGCTTGTTTATCCTGCCAGATCAGCAGGACAAGGGAGAAAGGGATGGGGTGAAGGGGAACTGAGGCAGGTACACGGGTGAACACAGTCTGTGGGTAGGTAACCTTCCTCACCCATTTTTTTTTTCCCCTTGCCTTGCTTTACTCCCATTAGGGAAGCCGTATGACAGCCAAGTGTAGTGCTGCAGCTGAGAGCTTGCTGGATGGTGTGTCCAAGGGTGCACACTTTCCTTCCATGGGCATATTTTTGGAAAAATACACCTGAATTAGCTCTAAGGCTCTGAGCATAAATTTATCCTAGGCCAGCGGTAACACTTGTACTGTAAACCCCTTTTTTCCCAGGCTGATGGGATGTCTCTGGGCTCAGATGTACTGAGCTGCGGCAACAGAAGACTCGACTTGGCCCGTGAACTCAAGGACAGCACCACGCTACGGCGACAGCACTGAGGTGATGGTAATGCAGCAGGAGACCTGCTTCGCTTAACGTTTTTCCAGCCTTTTTACCTCAGCTGCTGAAGGGGAAAGAAGCTGCAGGGTGGTTTTCATCGTCCCGGGACGCATCCACAGGGCGAGTACCAGCACCCCTGTTGTTAGCAAGGGCAGCGCGGGCGGTTGAGGGCTGAGCCACCACCAGATGGCAGCTGGAGTCCAGGCATGGGACAGGCCCCAGGGCCCCCTGCTGTTCCCGCCTCTGCCCCCGCCGCCCCCCGCCGGGCCAGCGCCGCCCCAGGGTCCAGGCGGGGAGGGGCCGCGGAAAGAGGAAAAATTAAACAATCAAGAGAGCGCCAGGTTGATCAAATACCCAGCACAGGGCAGGCAGAGCTGGAAAGTCCCTAATTGATGAGTGAGGGAACTAAACTCTTGCTTGTGTTGCAGGGGATTTCATGCTTTTAGAGACGACTTTACGGCACATCGGAATTTCTCTCTTCTGTGTCCTTCACTTCAAGAAAGACCAAATAATCCCCTCTCCCCGAAGCAGACAAAAGACCCTGTGAATAACTCCTTTCCTGGCCACACAACGGTTTGCGCAATAATTGTTTCCTTAACTGCTTCACATATTTGAGATAAAAATCCAAGTAGTTATTTCTCTGTTCACCTTTACTGAAGTGGATGGTGGGGCTGCTGACCTAGAAGGCCTGCGTGACTGAATTGCTGATTTTGGAGTTGCTCCCTCCCACCCCAGGATACAGATACTGCCATCACACACTGCTGCTTTCTCATGTAGGCTTTGGTTTTGTGGCTGTTCATGCAGGAAAGTTAAACAGCAGTACTATGAGTTGCTGGAACTTTGCCTGCTACACTTTGGGAATGCAACAGTCTCATAAATCAGCTCCATCTTTAAAAAAAATAAAAATCATGTCTGTCTAAGGAGGAAAAACAAACAAACAAACAAAACAACCCCACCATGGTGCTGTGCTATTTGTTTGCAGGACTGATCCTTTATCAGCAGCACATAAATCTGAATCTGGCAGACAGAAGAGGACTAAGCCCTCCAAGTGCCTCTGCTGAGGGGTCAGGAACAGCAGATGCAGCGTCCCGCTGGCCTCCGCACAGGTAAGCCTGGCCTGTATTTAAGGCACTACGGTGCTGCAAGGCTTCTCAGGGCAGAACAGAGACATCTGTAGCATCCCATGGTGCTGCAGATACCCTCACCATTAGCAGCTCAGTGGTTTCTTGGAACAGGAATGCTGTAGTCTTTGGGCTCACGGGAAATGATACCGCACCGGGGTGCAGCTTTCCATGCTGCGCTGTTTCATGAGATGCGGTGTCTCTGACTCACAGCTCTGCTCTCCCTTTGAATGCTGTGTTCAGTGTGGCTTTAATCGACTTTTAGTCTAAAGTGGTATTTTTTGCTCAAGATGCAATTGGTTAATTTTTAACCCAGCCTCTTCCCTTTTACTGTGCAACACTTCACACAAAGCTGTCTTAATTTGTCAGAGCAAGCAAGGGCAACAAAGCTCATTTCCTCTTCTATTAGTGACCAACTCCAGACAGACATACGCAGACGACATTTTAACCAGGGGCTGTTTTGCCTGCAGAAGATCATGTCTGTATGTGCCAAGGTACCCTCACTCTGCAGACGCCTTCCCCCCTTTCCCTGCTGAGATCAGGCCCACCCTTGTCCCAGGGTCGCGCTCCAAGCCTTGATGTGTTCCTGTAGATGCAACTGTTCATTTCCAACGGGCAGGCTTTGTGTTTCTGAAACCAGCTAACCTGCACCCTCAAAATACTGCTAGAGATGCTGTCTGTAATAACTGAGCATCATTAACTGTATCGAGGTGAACTGAATATGAGCATGTCAGAGCAGTGGTGCCAGAGGAGACAAGTTACACAGTACCACCTGTGGGGCTGCTGCTTTTATTATGGCTTTAATCCAAATCCCATTGACGAGACCATGAGGTCTTGACCATTTCTTCCATCAGTCATTCACAACATGAATGCCAGTAACCCAAAATAAACCCATGCAGAAAGACATCCATTAATTCAGAAATGCAAATTACTTTGTATTACTTTATTAAATAGCCAATTCTAAAGGACAGTAAAAAATATGAAAACATGCATCATTTGGTGTTCTTAAAAAACATTTGTCCAAAATAAAGACTGTTAGAAAAATTAAATGAGTTAGCCCCAATACACCTTCTGTTCTCCACATAAAAGATGTCTGGTGGTTATAAATATTGTTCCATCTCCTTTAGCAAAGTTTAACAATGTATACATTAGTATTTCTATTACAGGTTTTTCACATTTCTTCTGTAAACATAATAAATTTTAAAAAGCCTTGTTAGCAAGCTTAAGGAACTACTGCTTTCCTGTACAGTAAATACAAAGAGGAAGATCCTGGATTTTCCTGCCATTCTAATCAGCACTCCGTTTACTGAAACGTTAAAGATTTCAATTAGTATAAAAATATAACCAGAGAATAAATGTCTGAGCAGATTCAGTATCTGAGTGAGTCTTAGTTAATAGGCAAATAAAATGCTATTGACTTCTGAATCTGAAGATCAGTTCTGTACAGCTCCTGCTCTTTTGAGATCCAAGTATCACAACACTGTACACAAAGGCACTGGTTATCCGCCTGAAACATTCACTTCTTAGTTACTAAAAATAATTTAACATGTAGCTGAACTAAAAAGCAGGTGCTGGAAGATGGTTGTGCATGTCTGGGTCACACAAAAAGGGCTAAGTTGCCCCTTAGCCAGACCAACAGGCACCTGCTCTTCAGGAGGGGAGACATCAGTTCTCAAAACATCTGTACAATCTAGCAAGACTACTACTTTACTGAGCGATAGACTGACTCCTTGTCTAGTGTGAGAGCTACCAACCACAATCGCAGACTGGTTCCCTCTCCCTACAGAAACAGAAATAACTGGCTTTGTCCCTGGAGAGAACTTTGAGACAGAGCAGCAGGCGCTTAGGAAAGCCCTCTTCCTAGAAACACTGGCGTTATTTTATGGGCAGGAATAATTTTTTTCTAAAGCAGTATTGCTACACATTTTTAATTTTTATCTAAAATTAAAACGTCAAATCTAGTTTTCCTCTTGCATTTTTTTTTTAAATCTGGCCTCTAAATAAGACAGAAATGCTGCATCTGAAATAGTGGTGCATTACAACCAGATTTCTTGCACAAACATAGCTGTGGTATCATCTCCCGTTCATCTGCTCCAGAAATCTGTAAGACAAAACTGTGCATCTCTTAAACTATGGAAAGAACTCAAGGTTGTTTTGGGACTTCTCAAGAACAATCCAAACGTTTTATGGCAGCATTCTGCACACGCCTGATCCAGTTCTTTTGTTTGGCTTCCTGCAAACAGAGGAACACAGGACACAAAATCCAACCAGCCAGCAGGTACCCAGGGATGCCAGCCCACCCTCGCTAAGAGGAACGTGTGAGCGCCAAGCACCACGCAGAGAGCAACACAGACAGAGGAAATAGAAGGGGACTCGATGGCAGGAAGGGTAATGCTTTCTCAGAGTTGGACAGAACCTTCAGGACTGATTTATCCTAGGCTGAAATTACACTAACTGAACCAACAAAACAAACTGCTTCCCTTGCTTTTCTGGAGTGAAAGTGATGCTGCTTGATCAGTTAGATGCTGTCAGATAGGTACAGGCTAGTATAGCAACAACTGTCCCAAGCTGCATTTAAATAAAAATCTTCAGTTGGAAAGTTTGACATAAAAGAAGGGAATTTCTGGAAACGTAAGGGAAAACGGCAAGTACTGTCAGACACCACATATTGTAACTACTGAGCTCTGAGCAGACACTCCTAAGTGGTAAACAGTACTTCCTTTGTAGAAGGGTCCGACCTGCTGAGCAAGCTAAGGTCTTCATAAGCAAGAAGCTGTTCTGTGCGAAGCAGAACGAGGGAAGGTGGGCTTCTATTCACAAACAACGTCCGCTACCGGTGTTACTCAGAAGTGGCTTTTTTCCCTTTCCAGCTCTTTTGCCTTTCCTCGAGTTCGGCTTCAGTGAAGGCGGCCGGGCCCCAGTTTGTGATTAAGTGAGGATTCTTGGAGCCTGGAAGACAGAGAGCAATACCTGAAACGGGCACTTGGGACAGGGACATCGCTCACCTACCGCTGCTGGGACAGGCCAAGTGTCACCACAGCACGACCTGGTAAGTGCTGTCCGTTCTGTGACAGGAAGACTTCTCAAGGGTGACCTGAGGACCTGCCTAACCAAAGAGGGAGGAGTGCCTGGGACACCACCACTGAAGGTGCTTAATGTAGGAAGTTGTCAACTGCTGCAGTCTTTTGCATCCTTATTTCCCAACTTCCCCTATCCCAAATAGTTGTATCTTGGTAAACCCCTCTTCTTCTTGCCTTTAGAGATGTCCTTGAAGGAAAGCGAGTTCTCCAGCATTGTGTTACAAAGCCATTTTCCTCTGGGCTGGTGTGCTGTTAAGCTAAGAAATAAAACTTTTCCCAAAAATCAAATATTTTAGCTACCTTTCCTTCATGTTTTTGGCAATTGGCATTTATGCTAACGGAGTTAAACACCCAAACCATGCCACGTTCAGGTTGATCCTTGCTGTGTTTTAAATAAATAAATAGTCAACTACCAATATTTTTTATTATTATAGTAGGGCCAGGAGATGTAAAGACTTGAAAGTTACCATCAGCAGTTCTCACAAATGTGGTTATTTATAGGCTGCTGTGAAACCAATAACCCACAGGAAAAGGCAGACTTTAGTAAATCACTCGGTGAATACAAGTTTTATGTTACTTTCCTGTTGGTAACTCACCTGGCTCTATTAGTCGAATTAATCCCTCATGATGAGCGACTTTATCTTTCCAGCTCTTGGTGTTATTAGCTGCCGTTTCCAACTTCTTCTTAACCTCCTGAAAAAAGACAGAGCCCACTTGAAAACAAGAACAACTTTATAAGAAGAAAAACCATACTTTCAAATCTAAAGATAGAACCATGCTAATTCAGCCCACACTCCACTTAGTGTAGACAGGAGAACTTTATTTCTAACCATCCTAAGTAATTTAGTCAGTCACGAGCTGTATGAAAGTAAGCAGTCAAACCAGAATCCAAAAATAACCGGGTTTTACAAGATTCTGTAGCTGAGTAAGCAGGGCCAGCCTTTGCAAAGATTGAAAGCATAAACTGTAGTTTCAAAACAGAAAGATGCATTTTTTGTTCCAAACGAAGACGAGCTGGTGGGTATCTCATTGTCAGAAATCACACCGTGTAAGCTAGGAAAAGGACCACTGCTGTTACACCCAAGCAGGAGAGAGATATTCTTCAGGCTAAACAGGTCTTTGGGTCAATTCCAAACAGAAGGCCAGAATGTTTAATTATTTCTAAAATAACGAGTCAGCTATCACAGTGCCCTACTACACCATCTGTTTTGTGGGTTTTTTTGTTTGGATTTTTGGTGTCTATTGTATTCAGCAATTCCTTTGGAGCAACACATGATGCTTCATACACAAAAAGCCTCAGATATCATCTAAAAACCGAAGTCAAGTATTAGCCAAATGCAATCTGCTGGTGGTGTCAGATGTAACACCAACATGGGAAGTTGTGAAGTGGCCAGAACTGCCCCACCTGGGCCCTCGCTCACAGTCACTGCAGCGTTTGTGTTCTGAGCCAGCCGAGACAGCTCACTCGTCTGTCCTTCACAGAGCGAACCTCAGCAGCATAGAGACAGCATAAACACAGTCCTTAGCTAAACAGAAATCCAGCCATGTTTTGTTTCCTGACCTAAATACACACAGGATCAACACCTCCCTAGCCCTACAAAGTATGCAGCAGTTCAGACTCTGTACTTGCTGGATTCTGACTCCTATTTCTTTCATGAATACAGCTACTAGCCTTCACCAAAAACACTGAGTGGAGCAGAGACGAGACCTGGCATTTGGGACACAAGGCACTGCTACACACTGAGAATCTAGGCTAAATCCCAGCTATTCTTGACATCAGTTCAGTACTTAAATACCTTTTTGAGAAGCAAGGGCCTAGAGTAGGACATTGATTTTTCATCTGTAGAAGACAATATTGCCCCGTGACATAATCAAAACACTGCAAGAATTAAATACTCCAAAAGCATAAGGCATTTAGTTATCACAGCGATGGGACAACATAAGAACAGTCAGTCTACAGTAGAAGACAAATGTATAGAGAGTATTTCAGGGTATGACTGAGCTGGCTTACATGTGAATTGGGACAAAAGAATGAAGGAGATGGTGTGTCTAAAACAAATACATACATGTTCAAATATATCTACTGGTCTAGGCCAAAAAAACCCAACACATAACGACCCTACCTCTTCCTACAATTTTTGTGCCACACTAACTCTTAAAGAAGCATGATACTGATGAATTTCAAATGTAGTTAAACTGCTGAATACCTGGCTAAGTATGAGAGGCTGATGAACAGAACAGCTCACCTCATACTGCTCAAGGGCCTCCTTCCTTTCCAGTTCAAGTTGTTCCAGTTGCTGCATAGCAACTTGAAGAGCCTGTTCCTTTATCATCCTCTGGTTTTCCAGCTCTTGCTTCTCTGCTTCTGTCATCTGAATGGTCTGTTGCTGCTGCAAGTGCCATTTTTCCAGTTCAGCTCTCTTTGCTGACTCCTCTTCCAGTAATCTGCAATGGGGATTATGATGTTAACTGTGAGTAAGCTGTATCCATTACATACCATACATGTAGGGAAGCCAAGCTAACTATTTTCTTTCTTTTTTCTTCTTTTTTTTATTTATTTAAAAAAAAAGCTTAGGAAGCAGAGAAAAAGTTATTGCTTGTTGGCTTTTCTTCAGTGTAAAGCTGAAACTCATGCCAGCAGTGCAAGTACTCTGACTGCTACAAAGGGCTATTCAGAAAATTTAGTCAGTAACACAAATAAGCAACACTGAAAACCACAGAAGAAACAAGCATGCATAAGTTATTTTAATGGTCTTAGGAGGACTTAATATATGGAGATAAAAACCACACTAAACAAAGCTCATATGCATAAGAGGAGACTTAACCCTCTGTCAATTACAATTCTAACCTGTGATAAAATACAGCAGCAAGTCATGTTTACAGTTACTGCTCTACCAACCACACAACTGAAAAATCTGTAGAGTGATCTCTCGGGTTTCTCAGGTGCTGACATGCACAACGCCTGATGAAAAGCAAGTGCACCTGCTTTTCTGAAACTGCTGAGCACTCCCAGTGCTAAGGGCAAATCAAACACATTAAAATATCATAAATACCAGCTTTAGCCTTCATAGCTTAAGGGGAAAAAAAAAGTAACCTATGTTTAGACTTCACGCTAGTCCCCCTTTCCAGCAGCGTGTCCAAGATGCAAACAATATTTAATAGTATGGCACAGTTATTCATTATTGCAGGGGGAGCAGGGAACTGAACTAAATCTCTACTAGGTCAAAGCCATACCTGGCTTGAAGTTTCCTTACAGTCTCCTCATCCTGACGTGCCTGTTTCTCATCTTCCAAAGCTTCCTGTAGCTGCTTATACATTTCTTCCAGTTCACGTACTCTCTGTAAATACTGTTCCAGTTCAGAGGATTTCTGAGCAACCTGCTCTTCCATTTTCTGTCTTACCTAGCAGCATAAATGGAGGACACATGTGAGCAATCATTCAACTCACTTTCCAGTTTTTAAAGGACTTTCCAGGTTTCCCTCAGATAACATTTTTGGAGACAAATCTTTTCCTGCTGCCTGCAGAGCAAAACTGATAAAATTGAGTCTACATTTGTAGATGAGTAACTAAGAGCACTTCTTATAAAAAATAATACAGGTTACTTATATTGTCCTATGTCATGTGGCGTAAGATTTTTACAGGGATGTAAACCTAATCAGTCAGTTTGATCTTGTCACTTAGTTTACAGCTACACACCAAAGTGAAGGAAGAGAAAGCTCATAGAGCGCCCAGACACAAAGGTCAGGCTGGTTTAATTACACTGTTTCCACTCCTTTCCTCAGGCACATCCTCCCTTGGCAGCAGTGCATCTCACACACTTACATCTGGATGACGGCACTGCGACAGCACAGGATAAAGAGGTGGAAATCGGCTAAGGAGCTTGGCGTTGCTAAGAGAGGAGCAACTGTAACCAAAACAACAGAGGTAAGGGACAGAGGAAGGTGAGGGGAGGCTACATGTTCCCAGTCACCCAGTCTCTGATCCTCATCCCCCTCCTTTCACTGACCAGAGCAGGAAACCAGGGGCTCTGTGGCGCCAGAGCCATCCTCCCACTCAGCCCCTCGCTGTGCTGGTGTCAACAGCAGTGGACCAGCTTTGAACCGAGTCAGTATAAAGCACCAAACCCCCAGCACTGGGTACTGCACAGAAGGGAAGCACACTCCAGCAAGAAAGGCTCGCTGTCGAGTGCGGCACCATGGCATGTCCTGCAGTCTGCTTTCCCTCAGCTAACCTAAATCCCACTGACCCAGAAAGTGATCGCATTCAGGAATTCACACTGCGCCCATGAAGAGGCACTGTGTGCATTTATGTCCACAGACACATTCCACCACATCCACTCGGCTATTTCTACTTCTTTTCTCCAGCTAACAGCAAAGCCTGTTACGCCTGACAAAGCAGATTACAGTAACAGCGTTGTAAAGCTACAATGTTTCTTTAATTTGTTTTAATGTTCGCGTGTGTGTATACCTGCCCAAGAACACACAGCATAAAAAAGCAATAGTTTTAGGAGTATAATCAAGTCAGAATATTCCTAAAATGCATTTTGATTATGCCCGTGTACATTCTGCATATTCATTGGTATGCACAGGCCTCAGGTTCTCCACCCTTGAAAATGGCAAGTCGGTCTGTATGTACCTTTCAAACAGTCTTTTCCCAATTCTGCAGTAATATTCAAGCTCTGAACGCTATATAAGTTGCAGGCAAGTTGTTCCAGTATTCGTATTCACTCGTAAAAACACTTTATTCCTATGTCTCTAATAAGTGCAATGCAGGTTGCATCCCCCAGCCCTATGCAAAAACTGCAGAATGCTTTCAGTGAGTGCCTGCGAGGGAAGTCATGGCTCACTGTGTGTAATCATAGCAAAAACCCATCTGCACTACTCACCATTTTTTCTCTCTCCAGCTCCAAACTGAAGCGATCTTGTAATTCGACTTGAGTCTGAAGTCTTTTCTTCTCTTCCTCAGCAGCACGAGCAGCTGCTGCTTCCAGTTGCTGGAAGAGACGGGCAGGGGTGGGGGGAAGAAAAGGAGAAAAAATAACTTGTCAAAACTGAAACATTCGGAGGGAACAGGATTTTATTTATCAATTTCTGGTTTTAACCAAGATGGAAGAAACCTTCCAAAGCATTAAGAGGCCAGCTTTGTTTGGTTAATGCCTAAGGCTATTCTCAATCTCTAAATGGAATTTTTAATCTTGTTACTTGCACGACAATTTTAAATTTACCAAAGCAGAGTCAATGGGCACACTTCATCCACGTTTCCTTCCTACTTAGTGAATGGTTGCAGGACATAGTTTTCCATTTTCACAATTCTTCTAATTTCCTAAACAACATCAGAAGCTTTTCAACTCAAACTTTTCCCATCCCACTTACAAATTCTGTTTGCAAACAATTTTTTATTAACAGCAGTGACTTTCCAACTGAAACACCTCACACACTACATCACCCACCATCACCCACCAATACCACTAAAATGCCATTAACAAACCAAATGCATCATTCGTTCGTTTCTTGTCTCTTCACAACCGATAGAAATTCTTGCATTCATTTCTTCTCTGTCTCACATGGGATAGAAAACTATTATGGAAAACCACACCGCAGGCAGGACTGCACAGGAGCCCCAACAGGCACGACATGCCAGCATACGTAGAGTTGACACAGAAACAGAAGTGAGACGCGCTGAATTGCCATGGGAAAGCAGAAGTGCTGCAAACTTTGACTATAATAAGTGATTGTGCCCTTGAATCACATTGTGCTAGTGAATCACATCCCTTTGACACCCCCTGGATTGCCATGTAAGGTAAACAGAATTCTAGTCGATAATCATCACCTGAAATTCGGGGGGAAATCGGCCTCGTCAGAGCTCTGAGGCCTAGGAAACAGCAGCTGGGACCTTCATGTCTTTTTGCAGCCTGTGCAACTTCTTCTGCATCTTGATTTCACATATAAAGACAGCTGCCACAGTTTTTCCTTTTATCAGGATTTTGATAGCATGTATTTTTAGAACGCACAGAAAGTTAGAAATGTACAAGTAACAGCCAAAACTTTACCAGTGCTGAAAACGAAATAATTCTTTCATAATTCTTTCACGGAATTTTCCTAAGAAACTTATCTGATGCTTCAGAGGAAACAGAAAGCAAGCACCCTTCTTTTGTAATACACTAAGCTGGTGAAATTGTTTGCACGGACCTTCAGTTAAGAGCGGGATGCTCACTTTTGGAAGATACCACATTTAAACCATCTTCTTTCACCCAACATGGATGAACTAATGAGATGCCTAAATGATTAAAACCGCCAAGCTAAAACCTTCATTCCTTTAAGTGCTTGTGATACCACTCTAGTCTGAAATAGATGGGAAGAAGGGAAGGAGAAGGCTTGTTTTTAAGCTGTAGAAGATAGTACAGAATTGCTCTACTTTGAAAGGCTTAAATGATGCCAGTCTTTCAGAAGCAGTATTCCTCCTCTGCCAGAACATTTAAAAGCATATAACTGTAGTCAAATCCAAGATGCCCACTGAAGTGAAATTTTCTTTTTATTTCCATCCTCACTTTGAAATCAAACAAAACATTGCCAATACCGAGCCAGAGAGTGAACGTGCAGAGCCACAGGCAAGGCCGGGTGCTAGGCTTTTGCCAGAGAGCTCCACAAGATAATACAGTTTGTCTGCTCTTTATCAGCAACTTCCTGCTTAATGCATGTCACAGGACATCAGTTCCTGGCAGGTAAGGTTCCTGGCAACAACTGCAGTTTAGGGAAAAGTCCCAAATGCTGGGGGTGGGCAGGGAGGGGGAATCAACAGGAACCGATGCCAGCAGGGGTTAGCACAGAGTGTCTGAAGCCCATGCAAGACCCCAAACTGAAACAGAAAGGTACACAAGTCTCGTGCATGCTCTCTTGGTAAGAAAAGCTTACCTTTTAGTCTGTTCAGTGTGTGAATCTCAGAACTCCATTAAAAAATACGAAAGAAAACCTATTTTAGACAAAGGCTCTTAGTCTTCTGAAATTTCGTACTGCAGGAGCTATCAAAATACAAACCAGCCTCAGAGCGCACTTTGCAGATGCTGCGCAAGTGGTGGCTCGCTACCATCAGGAGCAAATTGAACCCGAAGCCTTCCAGAACAACTCTGTTTCCTGACGCATTTACAAAGCCTTTCCTTGAAGAACATTTTTCCTAACTGGCCAAAAACTTCAATTTCTTCCAACACAGCACCTCCCCACTAACTCCACTGAGTCCAAGTGCAGTAGTTCACGTCAGAGACTGCGCTCCTTGAGAAGCCATTTTAACCCAGTCCACTTCAAAAGATGTGTTTACCCATTCTGATTTCTACAAAACTCCCTGGAGCCTGTCTACATCCTACTGCTTCTTTGGGGTTGCTCTCCTGTTATCTTCCTCCTAACTTTTTTCTCAGTAAAGTCAAGTCAACACCAAAGTCCAGCCCTATGATCTCTGCTAACAGGTATATCACTTACCAGCAACTTGCAGGCTAACCTTTAAGGCACAGTCTGCATTCTGAATCTTAAACACATCATAGAATACAGGTGCTAAAATGAAATTAAAAAATGGTCTTCCACTGTCAGACTCCATTTTTAAGGCAACCAGAAGAATAACCCACATCAGTACTGTCAGCACAAGGTTACTGAAAGAAAAAAAACCAGCCCTCAGTCCCTGCTGCAGTCGGTGCTGAAGGCTTTACTGCAGGCTCACCCAGCAGATCTGTTCGCTTCGGGGGCTGACACCGACACAAGCTCACCTCCTCTCGAGGGGTTTGCTCAATGTGTCTGAACACCTCCCCAGGAAATCGATGCCTAATTCCACTTCAAGAAGCGAAGCCCAGCCTAAGAAACTGAGCTTAAAGCTTGAGGGTGAGCAGCTCCCACCTTTCGCACGGTCTCCAGCTCCTTCTGCTTGGTCTCGTTGGCCGTTTGCAGCTCCTTCATCTGCCGCTCCAGCTCTTCTTGCTCAGCTAACAGCTTCTGGCGCAGTTCTTTTCGTTTCTGGCGTGCTTCTTTGTGGGGTGGAGGGCTCCCTGCTCTTAGCAGGTTTACAGTGGTCTGTATGGCTGGAAAGGAGCGTGCAAGACAAACGGAGAGAAGAGAACACCAGTGAAGAGCAACTCTAAACTTTCTGGATGGCCTTAGTGAGTGAATACTTGTGGTGGTGTGTTATTTGGGGTTTTTTTTGGTTGGTTGGTTTGGGTTTTTTTTAAATTAGAAATAACTGTTGTCAGTTCTCCTCTCATCAGGCTCGGTGTCAACACAAATCAGAAGTGAAATACAGTTGGCTTTCAGTATTGGCTGTGTGCCACAAGGATAAGGTCTGGCCATTCCAATGCATTATGTCTATTCCAATACTGATTGCCAACAGCCAGTGGAAATACAAGTCACTTGTCCACCTAGCTGCAAAAAAAAAAACCCCAAACAAACAAAACCAAAAAAAACCCCCAACACTTCAAGATTTCTTACTACCTAGATTCAGTGACTCAGGTGACATCTTACTGCTTGATTAAACATATACATCACTTCCCTAGAACCAATCTTTTATTCTTACTGATACTCGAAGGGAAACCCTTCTCCCAGTAAGAAAGTAGCTCTCACTCTCTTATAGTCAGTGAGGTTACTACTGAGAGAGCAAAGCTAAGGGGTGTCAGATGATTTTGATATTCTATTCACCTGCTACAACTGTGAAAAGAGATCTCCTTTTGGGGTTCCAAGCGATCATCCATCATACATCAGCCTTTGGTGCAATTAAACACACGCTTTAGGTAAAGAGGGAAGTGACAAGGAAAGCACACAGCTCCAAATATTTAAACACTGTGCATACTTCAATGGCATTGGCAACAGTGGGTTTGAAAGGGCTTCTACCTCAACCCGCAGGAGATGGCTGGAACTACCACCCAGCGCATACCTGGGAAGGTCTCACAGAAGAAGTCCCTGCACCATGGGAACGGAAAAGGCAGCCCCAATTCCCACCCTTATCCTCAGCTCACCAAACCACAGTACCTCAAGCAAGACTGTAAAAGCAAAGCCAGTATTTTATGATGCTGAAATGAACAGCTTTCCCTTCCTCCCCAAGAGCAACAGTTTACAACGTATTCTCCTTCCTCATCCCTAGAAGTACAGCCAATATAGAAAGAGGAACCACTAATATCTATTTCATTTTGGTTCTGGCTGCCTAAATTGAAGCACCTAAATGACAGAAATCAGTTCCCCTTATGTGGATCCTTAGTTCTTCCCGAGTCTCAGGCTCCTTAAAGATCCTTTCCATGTGTCCAAAACAGAGACACCAGAAATCACAAGAACAAGAATTTCAAATTGGAGTCAAGCACGGCTGCTAAGACTTCAGCTTACCTCATCACTCACATAACTGAGATTTTTGAAACCTCACCTTGAATCCACTCCTGCTTCTTCTTTTTATCAGAGGCACTGATCTCAAAGCTTTTATCAAGACATTTTATGAGAAAAAGGCATTTCTTTCCATCTTTGTCAGGCAAGGCCTAGAACGTGTAACAGAGGATTAGCCTTATAAACACTGAAATCTAAGTAATTTTATTGTCAAGCCCCACATATGCAGCTATCTGTTACAGAGCTGCAAGTACCAGTACTAATAACCTTTACAAAAAACATTTATAAACTGGTTTTGTATACAATTAAAAAAAAAACCCCATTAACGAAAGATCCCGCACACAGACAAGGGTTAATTCTTCTCTTTAGAGTAGTTTTGGGTGGGTTTTTGTTTGATTTTTATTTTGTTACCTCTACACAACAGTTGCCATCCAGTATGATGTCTCCCTTCTTGTCCTTTAAATCTTCACTTACATAGTAGGAAATAATATTGGGTTTTAGCACAAACCATCGTTCCGTCCAGTTTTTCCTTTTATGACCTTTTTTCAGCATATAGCCCTGTAAAAAGCAGTGGAGCAGCTGAAATGCCCGGCCGCTGTTGAACCACCTCGGCTTTTGGTTACGTGGCTCAAAGGCCCAACAAAGCACATAGAAAATTTAGCTCAAGGCCCTAAGTACTTCACCCACACATTTCCATTCCTAATACCAGCACACTGCTAAGTGTTTAGCCCAGGAGAAAGCACTCACTATTTTTCTGTCCAGTTTTTAAGTAACTGGGTTATCTGATGAACTGAACAACTATCATCATCACCACTATTATTATTATTATTATTATTATTATGTCATTATCAAGTCATTATTATGACTCTTTGGTCCTCTCTGATGACCTTTACTACTTCATTTTCTTCAAGCAGATTTAAATAACGCCACATTTCACTCCTAGTATTTTATTTTTCTTGAAAGATAATCCACACAGCTTTCTATATGAGAAAAAATACTTGCAAGTCTTAACAAGACTATTTCAAAAGAAAGAAGAGAAGCCTATACTTTACCACTGAGCTTTATACAAATAAAAGAGTAAAAACTATAATCTTCTGTACTGACAATACATAGGACTGGAATCATGATCAAATCATCCTCTATTGAATACCAACGTATCTAAAATATCAGCAGCAATGCTGAGTGCAGTTAGACTCGTAACCCTGTAATACATTACCCAGTGTGGCTATGGCAATTCAAAACCCATCTCATGGAATAGGGTGCACAGGGAATGATACAATAACTGGTCATTCTTACAGGCTCTTGATTTTTAGTGACCTAGTCAGTTTTTTATCTAGACTTCCAAAGTCTGCCAGTATTTCAGCTATACCTGCCATTTCTGAAACCATATTCCCCAATTATGTGCATAACTTTGCCTGACTTCTAACTTCAGAATAAAGTCAAGTCATAGATGAGAATGAAACACTTCCATCAATGTAGCTGTGAACAAGCCACACAGAAAGCACTGTACTCAAAGTATTCCAGATTAAAAGGATGGGAAAATGGAAAATTAGACCAAACAACATTCTTCTGTAATGCCTTTTAGCTAGAGCAGTTTTGGATACAATCAAAGAAAGAAACGTGCTGTGGCATCTTTAAGTCAAAAATGTCTTTCTGTACAGGTCTGAGGGGGGAAAAAAATCAGGACAGTTGGAGAAGCATTTAAAAACAAAACAAAACACAGCACCAACTCCCCTACACGCACAGCTTATCTGTGCACAGCTTTTCTAGCCAGTGAAGCACAGCCAGAGCCAAGGCCGTGCCTATTCCCCTGTGCCATCCCTCCCCCTTGGTCCAGAACTCGCAAGCACAGAGCAGCTTTGTTTGCCGCCTCTGAGGTCTGGGTGGTCCAAGGACGTGTGAAGGACTCCCACAGCTTCACTCTTTCATGCCTTGCACAGTTTGAGTGATAACCAGGTGTTTTTCCTCTTCCTGACAAACTAAATTTGCTTTCAAAGCAAATTGCTGTTTCCCCTCAAATTTCTGCAAAATCGCTATCTATTATTTCTGAGCAACAGCTGCTTCCCATCTTCCAAGAGCACACTGAGAGCTCCTGTGGATTTTTTCATACCAACCATCACATGAAAGACACATCTCTCAGAAAAATAAGTATCACAAACTAAATCATCACTGCTACCCCTCCATCAGCCTTGAAGATCCAGGATGAGTGTACAATAAAAAGAGCAGTATGAGACTTGGCTATGGTACGGTATGTCATTAAATAATACCCTGAAGTATAATACCCTGTACTCGGCACTGGTGAGGCCGCACCTCGAGTACTGTGTTCAGTTCTGGGCCCCTCACTATAAGAAGGATGTTGAGATTCTGGAGCGTGTTCAGAGAAGAGCCACAAGGATGGTGAGCGGTCTGGAGAACAAGCCTTATGAGGAGCGGCTGAGGGAACTGGGGTTGTTTAGCCTGGAGAAGAGAAGGGTGAGAGGAGACCTCATCACCACCTACAACTACCTCAAGGGAGGTTGTAGAGAGGTGGGTGCTGGTCTCTTCTCCCAGGTGATGGGGAATAGAACAAGGGGAAACGGCACCAAGCTGTGCCAAGGGAGGTTCAGGTTAGAGATAAGGAGGAAGTTCTTTACTGAGAGGGTCGTCAGAAGCTGGAACAGGCTGCCCAGGGAGGTGGTGGAGTCACCATCCCTGGATGTATTTAAGGAGCGGGTAGATGAGGTACTTAGGGATATGGTTTAGTGGGTAGACAGGAATGGTTGGACATGATGATCTCAGAGGTCTTTTCCAACCGAGCGATTCTGTGATTCTGTGATTTACTGCAATAAACAGGCCAATGCTGTGAATCAGCAAGGTACCACGGTGCAAGCTGTGACAGAACCAGGCGTCTGGTCACACAGGGAACTCCACTCTCCATCAGACCAGTGACTGTCCAGGGGGCAGGGCCAAATCTTGGCACAAACTATTTTAAGTGTCAAGGAACCACTGAAAGGCGCTCAGACATCCTTACGAAAGAGGCCCAGCCAGCAAGAGAGGAAAGAAAGGAGACAGCAAAAGAAACCCAAGGGGGTGGGGCAGGGGGACACAATGCAGTATCAAAACTAGGAAGAAATCTGATTTCCTCACAGGTTTCAAGTGGAAGGACTGATCTGACACTGGTTATTTTATTTTCATGGTATTAAACGGCAGAATGACTTCACTTTGCCCTCAATTGACTCTGGGTGTGCATGTGTGTGTCCAGCCCTCACCTCCAACACGCAACCAGCAGTTAACAAAAATAGACTTCTGCATTGTTCTGTGGATATTCTGAAAGAATTTCCTGTGCCAAGACCTTCTGATGATTTCTTCAGAACAATTTAGGAAAGCCTGCCAAGTAAGTCTTGTTTCTCTCCTCACCAAGAAGCCAAAAAAAAAAATCAAAGATTAAAACAATTCTGTCAGGTACAAGTAATTTTTAAATTGCTCTCCAGGTAAGCTCTGCTGTGACCCCTCAGGTCCCTGTGATATTTATACTTCCCATGAAGAAATGCAGTCTTTAAAGCCATTTCTAAACTGATAATCCAGTCACTGTCAATCTAGAGAAACTGAAGACTGACAGAAGTTTGCTAAGAATATAAAGGCCAGCATGACTCCTTGTGTCTGAGCACAGGTACATGAACTGTCAGTCATTGCCTGCTAAGGAGAACAAGAAGCGAGAAAGCTCTGGAGGTTTTTTCACACCTTTTTGCCCTGTAGAAGCAGACCTTCCAGCTGGAGCAGTACCTTTGTCCAGACCCCCTTCTTTGAAAACACAAGTTATCATGAGCACAACTTACATTTGCTACAGTGTGACTGAAACTAGAAAAGAGCACTTTCAAAGCCCGACGAGCTGTCACCAGTTTAAGAACTGACAGCACGTTACAGCTATTCTGCCACCTAACAAGCAGTTGATACCACTTTAAAAACAGCTGCATTTCAAGTTAGATCACATTTCTTTTAATTTCTAAAAGCAATCTGTCCCAATAAGTAACTCATTCATAATACTGCAACAATTACAACAATCTGAAGAGCAGCATAATTTCTTTTTCATAAAAATAAGCTCATATTAAAAACCACTTAAGTAATTAACTTAATGTCCCCGTGCTCATTACCCATCAGGTAAAGATATTTCAGTAAAAGTTGAACATTTGCTAATTGTGCAATACATTGTTCTACTGTAGAACATTCGTTTCCTGTGTTTCTCACCTGTTTGAGTACATCTAATATGAGCTCATTGAAGACTTCATTGATTGCCATGGACACCGTTTGTCGGTCCATCCCTTTACTGAACTGCCCGCTTCCGATGAGATCAATCAGCTCCCACGCAGAGAGACCTTCTCGACTGGTGTTGAGAGCAACCTTATAATGGTCAAACTGCTCTTGCTGCCAGCCTGCTCCCATTGCTTCTGTGAGTTTTTTAAGTAAATATTCAATCTGTACAGAAATACAAGCAGAAATTAAACATTTTCAGCAGGCATGGAAATCAAGTGTTTCAGAGCTGTGAACTAAGCTTCTCCAGAGATTACCAATACAGCTAGATCCCTGCGTTCACATGGAGGCCCCTAAATGTAGGCGGTTTAATTAGCAAAGATTTTAGGCTCCTGTTTCAGTTGAACTTTTGACTGCCAAGCCCATCCTGCAGCTACTCTGCTCATAGCAAAGAAACAAAGAATTGAACCTGACAGCCGCTTTTAATATTTCAGATTCCCACAGGACTCGTGGGGCCTTCCCTGCAACAGCTTCCGAACCGTGATGACTCAAGTGTGAAAAAGCAAGAAGATTCAAAAAGTATTATTGTAAGACAAAAAGTGAATAAATCAGAAAAAAATAAGAAAATATGGCAGTTTGGACATCAAATGAAATGGGAAACTACCAAGGCATGATAACATATCTTAGTCTCCACCTGATCCCTCTTCTCCAGCTCTCAAGCACTCCCATCACTGGACACAATCTCGGCAGATGTATCAAGAGAAGCAAAAGATTCAATTTCTCACATCCACTTTTATTTTTTCCAAAATAAACTCTCCTTTTCCTTTAATCTTTCATCATTCTGTAAGCATTAGCATAAATAGGATAATAACTCTAGTCAAAATAAACACAAGAATGAAAAAGAGGGAAAGAAGGCTGGGTTTCTTCTTTTGTCCGGTTTTTCCCGTTGTTTTTAAACTCATCACTGTTTGCTCTTTAAACAAAGTAATCAGTGCAAGCCTCCCTACAAAGGCCTCCACACAACAAAGTAAAAGCCATTCTTCCAAGTTTCTATTACTGAAGTCACAGGACAGCAATTACAGCATTTAACCCAGTTTTGAAGACAGACCAAGCTAACGTGGCTGCCTGCTATTTTGGGAAATGCCTCACTGCGTTTCCTCCCCAGCTTTGCAGGGAGCCTGACTGCCAAGGCAAGCAGTAAAGCTGCCTGCACCCTCCCTGGGGAGAAAGCCTGGGGAGAGGGCGCTCAGTAACCCTGCCCCAGAGCACCCTTCTGCACCAGCCCACTGCAGGGACAGGGCAGCAGCAGCTCCCCAAGGGCTGCCTTCCTCTGCAGCCACCGCAGGGCCCGCACAGAACCACCCCTGGCAGGTCGTGCCACAGAGCTGCAGGCCAGGGCTCCTCCGGGCTGCCCCGCTTCTCTGCGGGCAGAAGCGATGCAGCAGGGTGGGAGCAACACACTGCCCAGCGGAGATGGTGGGGGAGAGCACCGTGATCCTTTCGGGTTCTCTCTGTGTAGGTGGAAATAACACGGATTTCCTCAAGTGCTGGTTTTCTGAAGGTCAGTCCTTTGGTACAGCCTGCTCCACTTCCAGTTTACCTATTTTAGGTGTGGCTGTGGAAACACTAAGTGACTCAGGAGTCTGAACGCCATTACCTACAATGACTAACGCGTACAGCATGAGTATGCCTCATTGGGAAGCAGTGGAAACCAAATGCTTTCCAGGACTTCACTTTGCTAATCACCAATGCTGGTTCGCCTCAGCACTGCCTGAAAACACAATGTAGTTTCTGCCACAGGCAAGGAAATCCCCAGCTGAATCAGGGGATGTTTCATCACAGAATAAATTAACTTTTCAGCTACAGCTTGGAGTCCAATAGGCTTTGGAGCAGCCAGCAGTCTCTACATAAGAGATGTGGGAGCATAAAGAAATAAAGAACTGTTTTTCTTCCCACACATTTTACCACAAGAAGCCTCAGGCCTCAAGGTTTTGCTGCAGCATACAAGCTCATTTTGTGGCTCCTACTTCTCTCTCTTGCAACTGGTACAGTGAAATCCCTTCCTTTCCCTCACATCCACGGTCAAGAAACACACAAGCATGTACCGGTGAATTACCAAATTCACCCTACAGATGCGGGGGCTTTCCTTACCACTTCAGTTCAGTAACTGTTCCTAGTGTCACAGCCCCTCCTCTGGCAGCACATGGATAAATGCTACAGCAAAATGGAGAAGCTACTGAAAGCCACTGCATGGTCTAGAGGAAGGTTCCCACTCTGTTGAATGAGCAGGAAGCATGTATCCCTCTGAGATGTGGCTGTCGTATCCTCCTTGTAAAGTGCCTTAAGAGAAGACAGGGTAGCCAGGCACAGAACACCCACCCTCCAGGGTAGATACAGGAGTTGTAGAGAGCACTGCTTTTCATTTCAGCTTCACCACATCAGGCATTTAATTTTTAGCTCCAGATGCAATTCTTACTAACAAAGATACGATTTGAAACCTCTGCAGAAGTGCCATTCAAATTGTAGACTAGTGCAAATAACACAGGGTACAAGGATCATGGTACAGCAAGGATGGCTTTCAGCTCCGTGGTGTGCCCGCCTGCTACCTGAGGACAGGGCACGCCTGAATGCCCGCTGCGCCCCTCCACGCAGGCAGCACACAGCAGCGGGAGAGGGTGGCACAGGCCTCCTGCTGCTGCAGTGCCAGGGCTCTGCTGGGAGGTGCTCGCCCTGCCCACAGCGACCGCTCGCCAGAACGGGCCATAAATCTGCTCTGCAGTGGGTCCACGCACAGCTCCACCGCTGAGGCTAATACAGGCACACAACAAACAGCCAGGAAAATGTAGCGTGCCTTCCCAAGAAATCAACATGTGGCTTTTACTAGATTTCTGTAAAATTCAGTAACTTTTACCTTTTAAAATACGCTTTGCTGTCTCTCCCCAAAATCCTTAAGTTAAAAAAACGAATCCAAGGCTTTTGAGCATAAGCTACCATAAATCCTCAGCATTCAGTTAAAGGCAGGAAACAGCTTACTTCCTACTCCAGGCAAGTTTTATAGAAAAAATTCAACCCAAAAAAAGTCCTTAACAGTATGCACGAACAGTAGCACTGCAAACTTGTCTCAAAACAAACCTCCTAAAACCTGGATTCAATGAGCTGAAATGAACTCTGGCACCAAGGCAGGAGTAACTTTTTCCAGCGTGTTCAAAACACATTCCGCTCAGTCCCTCTAAGCAGCACCACTTCTGAACTACCATCCTGTGCTTCAGTTGAAAGCACAGCTAAAAAACCTGGGGCTTAATTAGGTAGATAATATACCTGCCAACACGTCAGACACTAATTAAAAAAAAATCATTAGAACTTAATGAACTTTAAAGTGTACTGTTCCAAGATGTCACAATCTATTACACTGCTTGAGGCACGCAGTTCTCAGATTCCTCTGGTTCGTTATCTCAGAGTACTAGAACTCAGCGGCAGAGAAAGGGACACACACACACACACACACACAGACACACACAGACAGACACACAGACACACACAGACACACACACACAAGACACACACACACAGACACAGACACACACACTTATACCTCAATAGATTCTTCTCACATATGAACAAAATGTATGTCAAACTAACGGTCTGGAAAAGAAGCAATGCAAAGCTCTTGGCTAGTACACATTATCATGTAATGCACTAAAGTCAACATATCCTTTCCTTTAGTATAATTTTTACACATTTTATCTTATTTTTATTATTAGAACAGATTTAAACATTTGATTCTATTAACCCCCATCTGCAAGTCACTAAGATGACCACAAATCCCATTAAAGTACGTTAAATATCTCATTATTTTAAAATACATTAACTTGTCTTAACTGAAAAGGACCTGTGCATATTACAATATAATTTCTAAAATTAAAAAAATATGTAAAAAAAAATTCATCAGGCTTTATCTTATATCCTGATAAGTACATGGCTAAGCAAAGTCCCCATAAAAATTTTATCTAACGTATCTGCTCAATAGCAACACTGAGTGTTGGGGTAGGGCATAAATGTGGAACAGTGTGAGGTAAATATAAAGAAGTTGGATCTGGTAAGCATGGAACCAAAGACAAGACCATTCATTATGTCTTCAAATGAGGAACCTCTGAGAGCGAGCGACATTTCCCCTCCTCCACAGGCGACATGTCAGCTCAGTCTGCCGGCTCAAACACAACCTACTCTGGTGGTGGAAAAGTGCTGCCAGAAAGAAGCGTTTGCTGCTTTTCTGACTGGACCTTACTCACTTTCACATATGGACATGAAAACACAGGGGGTGGCTAACAGCTACAGACACCAGTATGGACCAACTGGTTCCACAGTATGAAAAACAGCTTCCAGCTCAAATCAACAAACTTTTCAGCCAGAATTTTTCCAAGAGAAAGCAAAACTAATATAAAGAACAGAGGCTCTTAGACATGAGCCCTTCTTTCAGAGGGCACTTTCTTTTCTCGTGTTTCAGTACCTATTTGCTTTGCTTTTCCAGGTATTCCTGGCATTATCCTCTGCGGGGAATAAAGTGTCACAGATGTTTCACATACTTTTCTGTTAATACTGAAGTGGGTCTCTTAGAATAATGTCAAGGAGTCCTTCATGCCCAGCAGAGCACAGCAGAGAAGGCTACTCTGGTTCATGCTATTTGAATAAGGTTTGTGGTATTAACAGAGCAGATGTCAAAAGTCTATTCACATTGTACAAAATTCTGTGGAAGCACACGATACAGAGCAAGAGACATGAAAGAAATTATATATCCCCTTTCACTGCCGTCACCAATTCCTATTTTTCATCCCATCAGAACATCAGGTACTTTTAAGTCAAATATTTGCTTCTTCCCTTCCACCAACAAAAAAATTCCCTTACTAGAATTTATTAAATTTCATGGGCAATAACTACTCTGGATTAATAGACTTTGGGAAAACTGTATTCATTATTCAGTGTAAGCCATTATCTTCTTTCCTTTTTTAAATTAATTTGGCATTAATATAATAAAGGTCAACTCAAAAACCAGTGTAAAACATAAACCAGTGTAAATCCTAAGGACAACCTGCTGCATCAGCTGAAAACTCTTATTTTTTGCAGCAATCAAGGAAAAGAGTAGTGAAATGGGAAGAACTGATGCAAGTCATTTGTGACTAAACATCTTTCTAACCATTGCCATCAACCTGTAGAGGTCACAGGTCAATTAAAACCCCATACGAGCAGCTTTCATTCTAGTCGTATCAGTTTTGACTTTATTTCTGAACAGCCAAGGTTCAATTCCCAGTCTGTCATTCACGGTATCACTTTCTGATACTAGAATGCAGAACAAGGAAGCAAAGGCGGTCACAAGAAACCTTTTCTGCAAGAAATGCCTCCACTGGACAGCTTCAGAGTTTCACCTCCTCAGTCTAAAAAACATCACCTCCTTTTCAAATGCACAGAAAGCCATACAAGGTTTGGGCCCTCTTTGTCCTAACTAGGAGGATCAGAAATGCCACGTGTTAACACAGTTGAAGGCTAGAGGACAAGTGAAAAATGGCTGTACAAACCTTCTTTCCTCAAGAAGCCAGGCTTAAAAAGGAGAGACACCAAATACCTTTGGCTTATTTAAAACAAGTTATATGAGCACTGTATTGCAACACAGAGTATGCAGCTTGCAATGTACGTATCTGCGTATCACCATTAAGCATGGCCCAGAAACACAGCTAACCACATACCACAGCTTTCAGGTGATAAACCATTTCCAAGGCTGCAGTCACATGTCCAGAAATAAGAAAGGGGAAGTGTTTGGAAACCTTTTTATAAAAGAGAAAATGCACGGTTAAACAATACCAAGGCACACAAATGAGCCTGTAACTACTAAGAGGTGAGTTGTAAGGGAAGCTCATGACAGACAGAATTTCTCTCCACTTTTCTTCCCTTTATTTTATGCTTCTAATGGTAGTGCCTGTGAGAGCTGAAGGAAACACACACTTGGATGGCTGTATCTCAGATGAGCTCATGGAAAAGATCAGCTGTGGGGAGGGGAAGGAGCTCCCACCTGGGCCCTCACTTTCCAGGCACATTAGTGATACAGCTGCTCTGCCCACGGTACCAGGACGGCACAACAACTCTGTTGTTAGCCCAGAATTGCAGTAATTCTGAAGCTGTCCATCAGGACTAATTGTAACTAGAGCAAACAAAATACAGCATTGCTTTTCTCTAGTCCATCTGTATCTCTCTGGAACACCACATTCAGCCAGTTCACAGAAGAGTTTTACTTTGTGCATAGCAAGGCTTCTCACTTGAAAGGGGAGGGAGCTCTCAGATTTGAGACCATTTTGCATTTCCCTGAGACATGAGCACCTTTGCAAAATAGACACTCACGGATCTCTGTTCCTTTCCAACATCTCTCAGCTGCCCACCAGCCACCAGCAGAAGCTGCGCTTGAGCCCAGTGCTCTGCACAGCCGCCAGCTCCTCTCACTGTGATGCGACTTCTCCCCATAACGCAGGGATCCTCTCAAGCTTGAAGTCACATCCCAAAACTCTGCACCTCAACCCAGGCCCTTCCCCATGCTGGTTTCTACAAACCTTATTTCCTTCAAGTGCAAGGCTGCTGTCTCTCCTGCCACAACAGGTGAGGAGCGCATGCCAGATGCTGCCTCTGGCTTTCAGCTTGGCCTCTGCTGAGCAAGAAACTTCTGGCCCTTGTGTCAACTCGCCACTGCTTTCAAACTTCCTCTTTGTAACTGCTTTCCTCAGTTTGCTCTTTCTAAAGCCTTTCTCAGCCTACGTCTCTGAAACCTGTCCAAAGTAGCCTGTTTTCCCTTCTCTGGTTGAGCTGCAGCTGTTTGGGCAGCGAATCAAGACCTAACACTGCGCATATGGGGGTTGCAGCCCCACCACAATCAGCTGTCCAACACGACCAGCCTAGCACAGCAGCACCAGTGCAAAAGTACACAACACAAGCAAGAGGGAAGGACAGCAGCCTCAACCTTCAGTCAGTGCAGTGCAAAGAAGGCGAAACTGCACCCAAGCAGTTTTCCAGATATGAAATTGCTCCAGTAAGTGCAGAAACCACTTATCTCATTTAAAAAATTAAAAAAAAATCAGACTCCCAAGCAAGTCTCAAAGAGCAGCTCCTTCAAGAAGGAGGAAGGGAAGGCATAGCCACATGAAGTTGAACCGAGACATCCACTGGAGACTTAAGAAGCTCTCTTTATTATAATCTTCCCACCCACAAGATGGAATGCAAAAATCTTCAAAGGATCCCACTTCCAACCTGAAAATAGGAGGCAAGTTTCCTAGTTGCTTATAAAGGGGAAACAAAATCTCTGAACCCCAAAAAACTATGAGGTGGAAGGGAGGAAGGTGAGGAACGGCTGGATCCCAAAAAAAGGACTCCAAGCCAGAAACTGCAGTAAATTGTGTTGCAATATTCTCAGCCAACAATAAGAGCAACAGACAGGGAAGGAAGAAAAGCTTGCTCACCAAAACATAATCACAGAACAGCGATGTTTCTATCACCCTCTCCTCTGTTCTTCACTTTGCACAACTCCCCTCGCTTGATACGTGACGTGCAAGCCATTTTGTAATTAAATGACAGGATACAAGATAAAGTGATGAAGACTAAATACATTTCAAGCTTAATTATGAACTCAACAGGCATAAAAACTAAACAGAAAGAAAAATACCTTTACTAGGTACCAGTATCATTTTTGATCCTACTGAAAAGAGTTATTTTCAAGCAGAAATTCTCAGCGTTAAGCACAACTATAAGTTTGTATCAAGAAGTAGTGTTTTGTATATCTGAAGTTTAGATTTAACATTAAAAAGCCCCAGACATAAGAACTTCAGAGGCAAATATGAAAGGTCACACAGAGAAAAAGCAACACTGGTCAAAACTGAGACTTTGCATCTTTACTTTTGGAATTTTGTGTAAAAGGGTAAATGTGTAAATGTGGAATTTTCCAGAAGCACAGAGAACCCAAGGAAGGCCAATGTAAAGCAGAAAGCAGCGCGTTCAACAGACAGCATTCCTCCAAGGGCTGATTGCATTACCTGTGTGGTCTAAGGCAAAAGGTTAGAGTGAATGCAGGCATTGTATACGATAAGAACAGAGCAGCCTTTCTTTGTCAGGCTCCGTAAGCTTTCTTTAAGTGGTATTGCACAATTTAAATCTTGCGGTAATCAAGGAGCTGCAGACAGAGATCCACCCTAAGAATTCAAAAAATAATCCAAGTAAAAGAGCAACACAGGTTAACCCTAGACATTAGGGATGGGAAGGAAAGCAAACACCAGCAGCTGTGAAATCTGGAAAAGGGCTCAGAGCCAACCCTGCAGTGCGTCTCCCAGCAAATGGAGACATTGCCATTACCTGGCATCAGCTACAAAAGGCAGCAAGAATCTGGGGGCTTGCTTGGTGGAAGGGGAGCAAGCGAGCAACGCTGATGCCCCAGGGCTGGCAGGTCTGAAGCTTTTAATCATGCCAACAAATAGGGAGATATGAAATATCTGCCCTCAAGCAAAGCAGGTGGCGCAGGGGGGAGCACAATGACAATCCAGAGGTGTGGACTTTTAACCCCAGTTTTGATATTTATTAGTGGCTCTGACCTTCTACCAAAGCCAAATCTGGCACCATTAAGAAAGGAGCTGCCTTGGCTTTTATAACCAGGATCCCTGCCTCCCAGTACTGACAGAAAAAACAGGAAAGCAAGCAGAAAGACGGTCCCATTTCTCATGGGAGTATAGCATGCCAGGTAGGGTCCTGTCATAGAATCACAGAATGGGCTGGGTTGGAAGAGACCTTCAAGATCATCTGGTCCAACCCCCTGGCCATGGGCAGAGACACTTCCCACCAGACCAGGCTGCTCAAAGCCCCATCCAACCTGGCCCTGAACACTGCCAAGGAGGGAGGACCCTCCTGACTGTCATCACCAGCCTGATAAAACCAGGAACATCATACAGAGCAAAAATCTCCTGCTAAAAAGTGAGTGACAAGACAAAACCGAGCAGTTTATTTGCATAGGGGCATTATCTGTACTTTATGGTTTGGCACAACAGCTTGCAGTCCCAGCTATGTTGTAGGAGCACGTAAATTGGACTGTTTTGATCCCTGACTGTTCAACAATTTGCAAATATTTATTAAGCAGTACTCCTGCAAACCCCTGGGATTTCTGTATGCAGTTTTGCAAGAGATTATTTATGCCTACATTTCTGCTTCTTCCCTTACCCCTCCCAAAGGGGAGGACTGTGGAGAGACCGAAACCTTGCTTTAGGGTTAAAATACCTATTTGAGCGTTGCCCATGCTTGTTCACAAACTTCAAGTGTAAAGCGATCTCTCTGATATTATTCCTTCAACCATTTCAAGCAAGAGTGTTCAGGTGGTAGCTGCTTTTGATCAGAAACAGACATCATCCGAAAAGTTCATACTTCTCTTTTCCATCAGGAGGGTGACATGAGACTGAAGACTCGTCTTGCACATAACAGTAACACAGAGTGAGGGGAGAACTTTTTTTCAGAATCACACTGATGTACTAACTGCAAATTTTAACTACACCTAAACAAGTGCAGTGATTAAAGATCACAGACACTGCTCGTGGGCGAAGCAAGAACCTCAGCAGCTCTGAGTGCTGATATCAGTCTCCCCAGCACCAGTCCGTCCCCACAAAAAGCAAGATAAGCCATTTACTAGAAGGCAAGCAGGATGTCCCATTTAGTCCAGGCTCTTTAAATGACAGACACGTGTAGCCATCAGTATCTAAAGTACCCTGTGGGAATCCCCACATACGCACCCAGGAAGGCAAAGAAAAGCACCTGAGGACTTAGGTTATTAAAAGAGAAAAATGAAAGTTTTATATTAAACAATTCTCTTAAATCTCTAGAGAGCAGAAAACGTTAATACAGTTCAACTGGGACACTAAGCCAACTGGTGTTAAACAGCTTAAGATTTTGTTTCTTACCTCTTCAGGTACAATGATTAAAGGGTATTTGTCCTCTGATAAGAAGTTAAAAATAACCCACACTTTAAATGCATCTTCATCACTAATCAGCAAAGGACTTTTAGAGAGATTCTTTTTAGCACAGAGAGTCCAGCACATCCTGTTGAATTCAACTTTGTCAAAGTTTCCTTGAACCTAAAATTGAACAACAACAAAAATTAATATGCACGAATGGCACAGAACAACTGACAAAGCTTAACAGACCAAGTCACATAAAAAGCACCGAGAAAATTCTAGTTTGCAAGAAATGTGAAGGCCCAGAAGGCCCAGAAATGTGTAGCAGCCCAGTCTGACTTCCTGTATGAGGTCAACTAAGGAATTTCTTCCAGCAAAATCTACATCCAACCTCCAATTTCTGGCCGAGTTAATAACACCCTGACTTCCTGTGAAGGAGGCTACACTGCATTTTGTGTTTCCTCTAACTCATTAGCTTTAGCCTCCAAACCATCTTCGTAACTGTTACACAGTTCCAACTGCCCTTCTATTGCACTGCGTTACTGAGATTTCATACATCAAATTCGGAAACCACTCTAGCCAAAACTACACGTGAACGTGCTAAAAGCAACACTGGAACAACAGGAGGGAAAGACCTTCAATATGTTTTTCCACTTCATGTTACTGAAACATAACTCTTGTAGGATAGTCATAAACAGGTAATTGCTGTTTTCTTGAATGCTAATCCATTTAAAACCTTCCCTTGTTCTCAGACTTGCAAATCTTAACCTTACTGCTAAAAAACCAAATCCTTTTCATTATCCTTTCTCATACCTAGCAACTGTACATACCCATCTGTGAATTATTTACATAAGTGAAGCTTTCATTTCCTCTATTTTGTTTTTAAACCCTCATTTATGTTACAGATGAAATCTATTTATCTCTCTACAGCTTAGCAATGCTATTTCTTTGCCAATATGCAACTAATAAAAGGCATGCACAAGTGCCTTGAGACTTTGAAAAGCGTGTCTAAGAGACAGGTTCTTGTACCTCTTGTGGTAAGGACACCAGTAAAGTTGTGTGACATTTTCTGATGACAGGCATAAGATAGCCATGCATCTTAAATGCTTCAAGGGCATAACTGCAAACTGTACGATTTCCTTTCCAGTCCAGTAAGTGGTCAAACATAGTAGAGGGTGAGCCACAGTGGCTAAGTCAATGATAGACCAAGGGGGTGGATGAACTGAAATGAGTGGAGGAAAAAAGGAGAAAAAAATAAGGCAGAAGTAAACAGGAAACCAACCCTATGCCAAAAAGCACTTTACTGTTTCCAGGACTAAAAATGAGACTACGAAAGCAAGCCATAGACTTTGCATGCTTGCAGAGCAGGCCACCAATGTAAGTGGCAATGCAAGAGGCTGCCCACAGCTGTCCCCTGAAGAACACGGAAGCTGTAGGAGCTGTAGCTGTTACAGCCACGAGCTCAGCATCCTGGTTGTTCAGACAAGAAACATGGGTCTTCAATGAACCACTAGCTAAGCGAATGAATACCCTCTGGAAGAAAGGCTAGAAGCCAGATTTCCTCCTCCTTCCTTCAATTTGCCAGCACCTCATCCCTTGGGTACTTTTGCCTGTGCTTTTTCCTGTCTGTCCTCCCCACCCTGCCCAGCGAAGCTTGGCCTCTTTCTAAAACAGCTTCACCCACCCAGATGATGAGCAGTTCCACTCTGAAACGTCCCCGTGGTTATGCTGCTCCTGAGGAAGATGCCAACAGGGTGGGAAACCTCCTTTCCTACAGGCACGGCCTGGCAAGTGCTCTAAGCACTATAAATAAGGGGGGTTGCTCTATGAGATAAAAACATGATCTATAAAAGACACCCACCTTCCCTTTCTAAGTTTCACAAAATAATCAAAAGAAAAATGCATCAAAACTCATAAAATCTTCTAGCTCTTCAATTTCCACTAATATGCAAAGTGTAATTTACCATCATCAATATCCTACCAAATAATATGGAAAATATTTGGCTTAAGTACCAGTGATCAGACCAGTTCCAAAAACACAAGCAGCGCTGGCAGTGTAAACAGCATTCACTAAGTTGTCTGGAAGATGAGATAACCTAAGGTCTAGAACAGAGTCCTCCTTTTCTCCCCCTACTGTGACTCTGCCCTGCTGTAAATAAGGCATGTTGTAAAATACTGCTGTCATCATTGAAAAGGAAACATTTTCAATTGGTATTAAAAGATGTACATTGTAAATAGTGGAACATGCCAAAATACGGTTATGAACCCAAGTAAAACAAATTATGAAGACATTATACCAGCAGGCAACAGCTCCCTCCTGAAAGAAACACATAACAGACTTTTTTTTCCCCAGATTAAGGAAAATCCTAGATACATCTGTCTGCTAAGTAACAAGCAGCACACCACCAGAAATCATCAAGGCAATATTAATTACTCAAACTATTTATTCAAATTCCCTATTTGGATTAAAAAAATTTGTTGCGACCAATTTGCCTCACTAAACTACCAACTTATGCCTTTCTTGATGACTCCTTGGTGCTATATAAAGCAGCTTTATTGCAGGGTAACACAGAGTAAGCCAGCAATAAAAAATACAAAAAGTTACAACTGCAATTAAGAGTACAACAGAAATTGTTTCAAAAGATTACAAAGTGCTCTCAATAAAATTAGAAGTTACAGTGACATGTAACTTACCTGTTTTAAAGAAATCTAAGAATTCATTCTTTAAATATTTTACTAATGTTTTAAAGTAAAATATCCTGAGATCAAAAAACCCCACAACTCTCTTGAGCAGGTTGCTCTTGCTCAAATACATGAGTTGACCAGAATATGAATGACTTGAAATTGAGGGAACTTCCTCTGTATCTGGGGTTATGTATTTCCGAGCCTTCTTTAGTAGCTTTGCTTACCAGCCTAAATTAATAGCACTTGTTCTCCAATCTAGAAGAACAGATTATGCCTTGGAAGAACGAAAAAAGAAGGGATTTCTTGTTTGCTTTTTTTGCTGGTTTGTTTTAAACAAAGAAGACACACTACGAACCAGTGACTTCATCCCACTGCACGCTGTCTTTTGGCACTGATGTAAAGTCCTCTTTAAATGATGAGATGTCACAATCAAGATTTTTGCAGTCCACAAAGACAGTCTTCAGTCTAAAGAATGTCACCCATTTTTAACACTACACAACTAAATAGCTTGCTAGCATTTAGTCATGCTTAAATAACATAGAGTTACAGGTAATGTAATCCTGTTCCTTAACACTTCCATCTTGTAAAATCAACTAATGGTATGGGTACACGGGCAATTATCAGAAGCCAGATCAGTGTGGGAATAAAACAACACAAGCGACTACATGGAGTCATGCTCTCTCGCATTAAAAACCAAAGTAGCCTGTCCTTTGTTTTTACCATGGTTTAAGAAGGTGCCCCAGAGTAGCTAAACACTGTAAATCCACACCAACTTGCTTATGTACCCAGGTCTTTAATTTTGAAATTAAAGTGTTATTCAAATGCAATTGCTCCTCATTTCCATGACTATTCTTCCTATAAACACCCTTTAACAATAAAGCTGTTTATATCTGAAAAAGACTTCTTTTTTTTAAATTTACTTAATGGCTTGCTACTGCCTATAAATGGTATTAACAAAAACCACTGTGGTTCGGTCAAAACAAAGTAAGGCCTTTTCTTTTTCCCCTCAACTGTGGTCTCCACTGAATCTTACAGGAGCTCAGGCTGCCAACACAAAGCGGAAATGAGATCACAAACGTTTTAGGAACAAAGCCAGGTTCTCCAACATCAACCAACCAAGACATTAAGCCAGCACCTTTATGTGTAGTAATGGTCAACAACTCCCACACATAAACCAGGTCTCTATTACCAGGCCCGAGAGAAACAGATGAGAGAGAGGCGGAGGAGTTGATAAGTCTTAGCTGATGTGTGAGGCTTCTCCTGCTTCCAAGCTGCCAGACTGCATTATAATACATATCACAATTTTCACCAGTATTAAATGTAGATTAAAGAGGCACCAAAAATCAGTAGATCAGGCTAAGGAGTTTGCATAACCTGCAACTGCTGCACTGGGCCTTTCAGCAGTATGTCAGTTTGGGACTTCTTAAAATTTCCATGTTTCTCTGCAGCCACACATCAAAGTTTAAGGATTTCTGGGGTCGGCCCCCAAGAGTACGATAAATCAGTGGTGCTGAAGTGATACGTTTGCTTACTGTCTACATCAGTCTCAACAGAAGCTGTCAGGAAAAAAGCAGGAAGACAGGTTTTGCTTTCAAAGATTCCAACCCACATCTCAAATTCACAGCTCTCAGAGCCCAGCTCTGGCCCAGTGAGTACCTATCCTAGAACATGAGGGAGAGCAGAGGGGAAACCCTGCTGTCTTTCCAGAGCTTCCTCCAAACAAAGGCACCCTTCCTAATGTCACCCACTATAACTATTTGGGGGGATCTATTTATTAAAAACCTTATGAATAAATATTTTTTTGCCCTTCCTGTTTGCAAAGGAGTCGATGGCAATATTCTGTTGTAGCCGTAGTCTAAAGTGGGACGATCTATAGCTCCTTAATACTTTCAAATAAAGTCAAGCTGAGGTGCTTTATTAATATGAACACAGTTGTGCCTTAACACAGCTTGGACAATGACCAGATGTAACAAGAAACAGACACAAGGAGAGAAAAAAGAAGTAGAGAACAGCACGTCCTTCCATGTTAAGGCACAGGCTCTCCAGAGTACCTGCCCCATCACAACCCCACAAAGGCCCACTGGGAACCAGGGTGTCTTCACATTAACATGTTTCCTGCAAGCAGGAGTCTACTGTAAAGACACTCTAACATAAAACCTGACAAAGGGAAAAGCAGAGCCCAAGAATTTAAAACTTACCTTTTCCAAGATGAATTTGTTCAGATAAGGCATGTAACCCTGATTGGAAACTGGTCCTTCGTCATCATCCCTAAAGTGCTCCTCCAAGGCCACTGGATCATGGGGCACGTTTAACACTGTGCACAAGTTGTGAGAAAGGACCTAGGGACAGAAGAGAAATCAGTGACACTGCTGTTGGCCTTAACCATGTTGCGCTCCCTCCAGAACAGACCCGTGGCTTGCAAAACCATGAGCAAAGTGACACTTTCACATCAGCACAAGTTCTGCCCTGAGGATTTTTGTCAAAAACCAAAGCACAACTAAAAAAGTTGCACATTTCTAGAAGCAATGCAATCTCAGATGGGTCCATTCCTACAGAAATCCAAACACAGCTACAGAAGCTGTACATACGTGCACTTGAAAACCAGGATAGGCTCCAGAAACACCAAAGTCATATTTGAAGAGTGAAATTAGATAGCTATGGAAAACAACCACAAACACCTAGCCTTTGAAACTATATTTACTATCTAGTGAAAACAAGGAGCAAAGAAAACAACTCAATATGTACCTTCAATTCACAAAGAAATGACCACTCAAATTAAAGCACTAACAACTCATTTCTCTCATCTGCTTCCTTTTGGATTGCTTCTGAACGTTCACCCCATGTTTCAGTTAGCAAAGGAAAAGTAGTGTTACAGAAAGGGGAAGGGTTTAGGTCTGCTTCTCAAATTTTTATTTTAAAAAGGTATTTGCATGAATTACGACAAGAGCTTAACACCCACCAGCACTCGTGTCTGTTCTGGAGAAACAACCTCCAGGAAGAGGCTACACGCTCGATTAGTTTTAAGGAAGTACTGAACTGCTGAAAACTAACGGGTAGCCAACGCATCTCAACCTCTTCAGCTTAGGCAGAGTTTCACACACAAAAGCTGACACCTTGGTACCAACAGCAGGAAGGCAAAGCCTGGGCAGCAGCCACCCCTGTGCCACCAGCACCTCCCTATGAAAGGCAAAGCGCCAACCCCTCCATGGTGCACGCTGACTCGAGCCAGGTCGGCGCTGTAACGCGCTGCCCACTGGCTCCTAAACTCGCGGTCACTCTGGAGCCCGCTCCCCTCAGCACCATGCAGAGTTAAGCCTCTGAAGACCGTGTACCAGCTACAGGAGCTGGGTTAGGGATTTAACTTCACGTGCCCAGGAATGGTCTACATTGAGAAAAATGTAACTAAGAACCAAAGGCAAAAAATACAGATGAAACAAAACTAGGCAGAAGTAAAACAGTGCATCTTTTGAAAAGACATGCTGCTTGTGGTGTGTTGGTTTTTTCCTAAATCAACAACTAGATGGGACAGACTGCAACTAAATTTTGGCATATGTTTCACTTTTTCACTGTGCAGCATGCGATTAAATACAACAGACCCAAATGATGCAAAGAGAAAGCAGTAAAAAAATGTGCAGAAAACTTATAAGCAGGTCTGTTTAGGTGACTAGACATAAAGAGATCGAGATGGGGTAGCTGCAAAACAAGAACTGAAAGTCTGAAGCCGTCGAAGTCTAGGACACCAAACCTATGCCACACACTTAAAATGTCTGGGCTTTCCCCCCGCCCCCAAAATAACACACATTCACTTTCCTTATGTATGATAAGGAGACGTGCAGAGTCTAAGCACTAGTGAGCATAAAACCCTACAGAGCCAGGCCAAGATGCAAGTTCAGCTCAGAGGAGAATTCCTCTCCACATACCTCCAAAGTTACACTTCCATTTAGAAAAACACACGTTTCCATGAGAAATGCACATTTTCTTTGTTGTGTGCTAACATTAACCCACTAAACAGGTGCAAAGGTTTAAAACCAGAAAAGCAGTAACATCGGCCGTATTACAACAAAAGCTGTATTTCCCAAAGCAGCAAAATCGTCCTTCTAAGTTACCGCATTCCACACCACCCTCCATCAGCAGCACATCTCCCGTCAATCTCTCCTTGTTCTTAACCACCACATCAAATCAAGTATTAGAGCCCATGTGATTTACGGGGGGTGGGGAGGGGAACATACCATCACGTGTGCTTCCCTTTCTGTGTAAGGCTTCAGTTGTTATTTATACACAACTGAGGGATTCTTGAATTTCAGAGAGATAAAGATGACCTCTGCTTTCCAAGCAGGCTGTAGTTGCTAATATTGTAACTAAAAAAACACTCAGCTAATAAACATATTCTAAAAGCATAACTGATTTAAGTTTATTACCAAAATAATAAGTCTCAGTAAAACAGTTTCTCATCGTGTTTTCTCTACATGTTTACCTTCTCCCTTTTATGGCCTTCTGGCGGTGCTTAGGCTGTCAGAAATCTAGGTGGTTTCCGCATCAAGCAAGCACTTTACCAGGAAAGAATTCCACTTTCAATCCTTTATTAGGATCTGCCTTATCTACGATCTCTCGATGCCCAGGGCTCTTTTTCATAACTCAGGAAATTCCTCGACGCCTGCCAAAGCCTGCCATTCTCCAACAGGCCAAGCGCCAGCTGGATTCTTCACTCGCAGGGTAAGCCTGAAAAACTCTGCACTGGGGTCTCATTTTGTTTTGTTTTGTTCTCTCAAATCATATTATCTGGGCCATATTATACTCTATTTCAACGACTAATTTAAAAAAAATAAATCTAACTGAATGTTAGGTTAATTGGGGTACAAAGAAATCTCCTTGCCTTGCAGAAGCTCCATCAACCGTGAGGAAGTTTTGCACCAGTAAGGATTATTCCCCCGTGCCCACAGGGTTGCTAGGCAGCTTTTGCGTTCAGCACTTATTATGCTCTGGATGCCACATTTAACAATCTACCTTCACACCAGAGCCAACTCCTGCCCCCAGCCAGAGACTCATCTCTGTGCTGTGGCAAATGGGTACAGCAGTGCTCCCCAAACTGGAGCCCACGAGACAGCACAAGCAGCCCGCAAAGGGTGCACAAACCAGCGCGCTCTGGGCACAGTTCTTCCATTCTCGATGGCAGGTTCAATAAGAAAGATGCCAGCGGTGCCCAAGGAATACTGAAGGTGTTCTGCTCTAGATACAAATCACGGGGTGAAACAAGCAAGCTGAACTCCAAAGGTCATTAGAGACTTTGGATGTACTTTATTTATGGCCAGTCTCATGCTGCTTTACCTAGAGTGCAGATCCCCAGCCCAGCTCGCCACAGCTGCTCCCCTCTGAGCTCCAATTTTCCAGAACATCGGTCTTCCAAAACCTTAAGCACGTGTTGAACTGTTACCATCTGAGTAGCTCCATTTAACCCTGTCCATAAAAGTGATCTGCATTTCCAAAGGGAAAAGGGAAAAGGAAGATCTGCTAGACTGCTTACTGCTCGGCAACAAAAATTTGGCCCAGATGATAGCAGGAGCTATCCAGGGCAGACTTCTTCTTCTTTGTCTTTCTCTTCTCCATCTTTCAGGGGGGTCTTATCCCTCCTCCATCTCTTGTTGAGATTTTAAAATGTTGGCATCGCAGATCGCGACAGCTCCATTCAGTGGCTTCATGTGAATTCATTCCAAGACATTCTTGGCTCGTTTCTCCCTGACATCCATGTCAGCAGCCAGCCAGCCAAACTAAGGCTACTCACAAGTATTTTCCCTTTTCCTTTTTTTGACCAGTGTGGAAACCAGCATCATATATGCCGCCTGTCACAGGCATAAGGTCTTTTCAACCAGGGTACTCCTTAAGCATATAGTTTCTTTCATCACAGCACCCCCAAGGTCCAGCTTCCCTATCCACTCAGGCAGCAACCGCCCCATTTGGAGTCTCATTATTTAACATGGGGTACTGCAGCAACCTCTTTCCCAGTCTGATGGCATATTGGAGCTCAGGTTCCTGAAGCTAGTGTCCTTCCCGCACATCACCTCTCCATTCCTCCATCTGCTCCCTTCTCCTCTGACCCCTTGTCACCATTTTCTATAACCTCACCCTTCCTGTTGCCTTCATTATCAGCACGTCCCTCTCAGGCCCCAATCACACACTGGTGCCAGCCTGCATCTGTCCAATGGCCATGGGATCTGCCTTTCTGCCCCACAGCTCCCTGTCCTCAAAAAGAGCTCCCAGTGAACACCCTCCATCTACTGCACCTTTCTTCTACATCTTCCTTGGAACCGCAGGGACAAAGGTTGGCTCCGTCTTTTCCTAATGCTCCCTTTTTGGTCTACAAGCTGTTTTGGTTTGCCAGCTCTTCTTGAAGAGGGACATCCCTCCCCTCACACCTCACAGACACAATTCCTCATGGCTACCCCCACACAAACACTTCTGAGCCCCGTTAATAACGTCAGAGTCCCACTCGCTCGCAGTGAGTCATAGTGACTAATTTCCTACCCTCCTTCAATGCTGCACAAAGCCAATTGTCCAGCTGGGGTCCTGCCCGCCCCTCACAGGCTCTCGACCCTTCCAGCGCCTCACTGCATTGTTCAAGGTCTTCCTCTCCATTTGAACCACCCCTGTTGCCCCGATTACACCATTCTTCCTTTTCCCACTGGCCACTGACTTCCCACTTAGTAAAAAGGCAAAACCAAGACAAGAGGTATAATAATCCCATGCATCCCAGGTACGATTTAAGACCGGGTTACATTTTCTAAGCCTGACTTTGGTCGCTCACATATTATGGGCCTGAATGAGACCATATTTTCTCAAGGGGCTCACCATCCACATTCTGCAGATACCATGCCAGGATTCCAAGACTTTCAAAACTCACCCCAAAGCAGCAAGCAAAACAAAACAAGAACAGCCAAGTAATCCCACTGCCTAAGCAGAGCCAAGTCACAAAGCAATGTAAGGAAGAGCTTCCAGAGGGAGTGTGAGAGCTAATCAGGACGTATTCTTTCTAAGAGCAAATCATACACACACACTACAAGGAATTTTCCTGGCTGATAAGTGTAACTACATTTAAAACTACAGTGTTTCAAGATCCAGATGAACAGCAGACTGAATGTTGGCACATTACAGAAGCTTGTAAAATAAGTCAACTTCAAGACTGCAGACTGCAAGAAAGATGAAAATGGATTTAAAGACAGGAAAGCAAGTATTTCCAAGTACCTACAGCAACTGCAGCCATGACTGCACACACAGAACTTACACTTCAGCCTTGCTGTATCAGTGTTTGAAAGTGCTGAAGCACACTGACAAAACAATGATCGTGTCCATATTTAAAGTTGTAATTTAAGAACAAAACACACAAATGTTTCTGCTGATGTAGAAAAAAAGATAAGCTCTGCAGGCAGCAGAAGTGTACAACTTCTGAAGATTAAACACTAGACAAAAAAAAGTTAGCGCATACTGGAAGAAGATGATCAAAACGACACAGAGGACTGATGTGACCTTCTCTTCTCGCACAGCTCAGACCAGATACGAAAGATACAAATGTATAAAAGACATCTCATTAAATCCTTACTATTCCAAGCAAGTTCTGGTTTTCCCTCCGAGCGTTTGCTGTTTTTCCAGACTACAAAACAGACCCAATTAATGCACCTCCATCCCTTTGCTCTAGATGTACTAAAAACAAATGTGTGATGCAAACCCTTCACAGTAGGGCCTCAGCTACAAAACACAGATCTATTTTTTCTCATAGTATTTAATGAAAATTATTTAATTTTTATGGAAGGCTCAAAGATCACTTCTAGGCAGAGAAACTGGAAAACACACTCTAACAACCAACATGATGTACTTAGGACCTTCTGTGCAACACGATGGCAATACCTTCTACTGGATTATACGACTCAGAGATCCATTGTCAGTAAGTTTTCCTGTTGAGGAGGGAAGAGTTCACCAGGATACAACGCTGCAGGCTGTTCTCAGAAAACAGAAGAGTTTTCAGGGTTTTTTTAATAACAGGAGTTTCACTAAATTATTAACCATGTTTTTCCAATACTACCAATTTCTACTCACCCGTTTATCTCTAAGCCCCATCTCTCTATTTTACAGGGGTGCTATACCATCCTCAATGTAGTGCGGATGAGAAACACTTCATTGCAAAATACCTTCTTAGTACAACATAGCTCTCTATCAACCAACAGGAACTTCTGCTTTGCTGTCCTGCCTACCCCTTCTGCTGCATCAGTGTGGGCCTCCTGCCATCATGGATACCTTTTCTCCCCAGCAGGGCTATCAGTTCAACACCACATTCATCATTTGCCACAAAAAGCCTACGGAAGAACACTCTCCTACCCCTTCCTGTGTTTCCTGAAAGCTAACTCTTGGTGGCCACAGGAGAAGGGAGCATCCTCATTTCAGACTTGTTTCTGTGTTCCCAGATCCTCCACTGGACACTTCCCTCAGGAGTTTTTGTATCACAGACAGAACTGCAAAGCTCCACAGAGACACACTTTTTTCCCCCTTCTCTCTCACAGATAGACCAAATGAAGCATCAAAACTGATTAGGAAGATGCCTGATAGGTAACAAGGGGACAAGTTAAATTACCCCTCTTCTTTTTATTTTTTTACCTTTACAAGGGCAGGTAGCGATAGGACAAGGGGGGATGGCTTTAAACTGGAAGAGGGTAGATTTAGATAAGGTATCAGGAAGAACTTCTTTACTGTGAGGGTGCTGAGACACTGGCACAGGTTGTCCAGGGAAGTTGTGGATGCCCCCTCCCTGGAAGTGTTCAAGGCCAGGTTGGACGGGGCTCTGAGCAACCTGGTCTGGTGGGAGGTGACCCTGCCCATGGCAGGGGTTGGACTGGATGAGCTTTAAGGTCCCTTCCAACTCAAATCATTCTATGATTCTATGAGTTGTACTGACAGGGGTCTAATAAGACAGCAGAGCACAAGACAGGTAACTGTGCTTCAGTTTGGAAATACAACTGCTGCTTTAATCCACCTAGGCCAGTCAGTGATCTTAGAGAAGTGATTACATCTCCATCAGAAAAAGCTGTACAAGCCCACCAGCATCCTGGCTGCTTCTTCAGTGGTTTAATTCACCTCAGCACTGCACAATCATGACAGCTTCGCCACCGACCTGCACGACAACACACACTGCAGACACACTTCCCAGGTGAATGCGCTGAGCACTACAAATCATGGCAACACACACAAGGTGTGGCAGCACGACAGGAAAACAAGATTCCTTTAAAAAGCAAGACAATTAAGAAACTGCCTCTGTGCAACCTACTTCAGTCAGTCCTGCAACACTGCAACACAAACACTCACTTTCATCAGGCCACCTGTAAAAGACCTGGGAGCTGCACACATTTTCAGCCTGAGCTCACAGCCAGGTCCGGCCTCTTGCCTGACTCGTACCCCACAGTCACTTCCAGCTGAGTTAGGCTGCACCTCACAGCCTGATCGCCCCAAGCAAAGAAAAGGAGAAGAGGAAGAGGCTGCTTGCAGCACGTTGCACACAGAGGCATTTATTACATAATGCTAAAAACAAAGTCCAGTAGCTACCACGCATGGAAATACCACCCACAGCACAGCCACTCTCGCTCGTGCAGTTAATCCCACAAAGGGCACAAACTTCAGCTAACTGTTGCGGCCGACACAACTCCAGCACTCAGTACAAGGACCCACAGTCTCAAATGTCAACAGGTGTTGAGTTCTTATCCAAAATATTTATTTAGCCAGATTCCTGCTATTATTGCCAGGCCAGGACAGTCCCATAAAGCAGGGCCAAGACAGGATTGGATTCTGTGAGCTGCCTGAGAGCTCTTTTAAGAGCACAAACATTAGTTCAGCGTATAAGCTAAGAAAGAATGGCACAGTTGGAGCCTCTTGACTAATTCTCCTGTTTATTTCCAAATAAGAGAGTACTGTGGAACCTCGCTCTCCCCTTGGCACGCTATGAATTTCACTTGGACACAGCCAACTCCTATAGATGGGACCTTGTGGCTACTTCATAAAAGATTTTGGCCAGAAAGGGTACCAAGGACACGCAGTTGAAAGCAGACCAGAAGCACAACAAGGGTTTGTGCACAGACATCTCGAGGAGGATGAAGCACTTGCCTGGGCAGAATGAAAATCAGCCTCCTCGAGCATGAGGAAGGGCCCGCACAAGTCTCCTGTAGGTCGGAGGTACTCGGCAGTCACGGCAACGGGCAATGCCGTGTGCTGAACAACAGCCTCAGGGGAGAAAATGCAATTTACAGCCCCCAAGTGGGCTCCGAAAACGGGCGTCCACGTCCCCTCATCGAGCATGACCACCTCAGACAGGCCTCAGGCACAGCACTCCCCTATCCACTGTGGAGGTCGCCAGTAGGGACAGCCTAGGCCCATGTCATGGCCCCTCACACCCACATCGGGCCCCGGCCCCACACCGCGGCTCCTGGGCTCGCCACCCCTCTCTCCTCCCTGTCCCGAGCAGGGCTGCCCCACTT